GAAGCTGCCTGGGCTTGAGGGGAGGGGCGTGGACAGGGGAGGCCGAGGACAGAGGGGTGGGGGGCCCCATCACCCCAAGGCCGCCAGGTGACCTTGGGCATCTGCTCCGGCTGCCTCCCTCCCGGTGGAGCCGCTGACCCCCGAGTGCGCATCCATCAGCCCAGCGGCTCCCGTGGGGGCCTTCGGGCGCCGGCGGACCTGGAGCAGCTATTTCCAGGGGCTTAAGTGCTGGGCGGAGCCGGCTGCTCCGGGTCTATTTCAGTCCTCGTCCTCGTCCTCGGGTGGGGGGCAGGTGGGGGCCAGCCACACCCAGGGCCTCCGTCCCCTCCCATGCTCCTGGCTGAGCACGGGGTGCCCCAATTCCAGGGAGCGGGGCTTCCCTTCTCTCCTGCCGTCCGTCGAGAGGAGGATTTCTGCAGACGCCCCGTTTCCCACTAGCTCCTGCAGGGGAGAGGCTGTGTCCCCACCTCTGTCCCCCCATATTCAGGGCCTGGCAATCCCCCGCTGGGACCACCCTGTGTGCCCCGCTTCAGGCCCCAGCCCCCTGCCAGGAGAAGGGCCCTGTCCCCACGGCCAGCAGGCAGCAGGGTGGGGGCTCCCGGCTGGCGGGCAGGCGTGTTAGGAACCCCCCAGCGCAGGACCCACTGGAGTGCCTGTGCCCTTGACCCGCAGCCTCCTGGGGGTGACGGGCGGGGGTGGGGCGGCCGGGAAGGGGGCGGGGCGGGGGCATGCGCGCTCTCCTGGCCATCAGCACCTGACCCGCACGCGACCCCTCATCTGCGCCACAGCCGGCTAATGCTCTGCTGACAGAGGCACTCCCAGCGGCTGGAGCTCCCAGGCCGCCCCGCCCGGCGCCAGGGGTAGCTCAGGTGGCCCAGGCCACCGACACGACACGCTGGGTGTGCTGGGGCGTGTGGCCACCCAGGCCAGCCAGGACTGGAGGGCGGGGGAGGCAGGGGGGCCTGCCCCTCCAGGCGGGAAGGGGGACCCTTGTGTGTGGTGATGCGGGAAGGTCCTCCCTCCAGGGGGTCTTCCCAGGGCTGGGGGCCAGGCTAGAACGTGGGACTAGGGGCCAGGCTGGGGGTCTGGGCTGCAATGCAGACAGGGTTGGGGGGCTCCTCTGTCCCTGCCACCAGCTGCCACCCCAGTGCCAGCCTCACTCGGGCACTGCCCCTGTCCCTGGCCTCCTCCTAGGACAGCCTGTCCACCCCGGTTCCTGCTGTTTGCAGGTGAGTCCAGCGGGGATGACAAAAGAGCCTCTGTGAAGTCAGGAGACGCCCGCTGGGACCGCCAGCGTCTGCGCCAGGGGACCAGGGTCTGCCTGTGTGGCCTGGCTGGGCGTCTTTGTTGGGGCCAAGCCCAGCCCCTCCGTCCAGCCAACTCCACCGGGGTCTCTGGGCCCAGCCCAGGGATGATGCAGTGGGGACCTGGGACACCTGGGGTCCCGGTAGGCGGCATGCACTGTGGGCACCGCAGGAGGACTTGGCGGGCCCTCCAGGGGGCCCTGGGGCGCCTTCTGCCTTAGGACCCCCCTCCTCGCTGGCATCTCCGTGCCCCCTGCAGGCTGCAGACACTGGCTCCCGGCCCCACCTCCACCAGGCCCAGCCAGTAAGATGCAGAGAAGTTACGGGACAGTCCCCAGGTCATCCTCACTCACCCACAAGCCTCTGCTTCGCTGGTGCTTCCCCCAAGCAGCCCCCGCCTACCAGAGTGCAGGGTGACGAGAGCGCCCCGTTCTGGGGTCCCAGAGGCCAGTGCTGCCTGCCCTGGGCTCTGGCCACAGTGGGTGTGGGGCGTGCGGGGTGGGGGCTGAGGCCCAGGCTTGCCGGCTCCTGCTCCGGCCAGAAATCACTGCCGGAGGTGGGCTGCACACCTGTAGTCTATGGGGGGGGAAGTGGGACCAGAGGTGCCACCACCTCTGGTGGATGCACACGCCACCCACGGGCCACCACCCACAGGCCGCCTTGGCCACCTACAGCTAACAAAGCCGAGATGCTGGGCAGACCTGGGGTACGGGCCCCCTTCTCCCCCCACTCCCCTCCCAGGTTAGGGGCAGGCGCCCTCAGGTGCTCAGGCCTGGCGGGGTGGGGCTGCTATTCTGGCAATATAAATCGGCATCACATGAATCCCCAGCAGGTACAGGACCCTTGAACCTGCAGGACACTCATCTGGGGCCGGAGCCCCCCTCCCAGGTGGGCAGGAGCCAGCCCCGGCCTGGCCATGGGTCGGGGCTCCCCTCCCTGGGGGGGGAGCCCCACAGTGGCTGCTGGGAGCCCAGCGTGGGGCGTGGGCCCCCCTGCCCCTGAGTTTTCTTTTTCTTGGGGTCCAGTGAGGGGCGGCTCCCTGGGCCGCCCCCACCTCATCCCCTGGGCTGGGTCCCCCGGGATGGCGCTACCACAGCCCCTGGGAGAACCGCCAGCCCTCGGGCAGCTCTGCCGGCCTTCACGGTGGCCTGGGTCAAGGCCACATGACACCCCAATCCCGTAGCCTGCTGGGGTCCCAAGGCGAGGGAGCGACTTGGCCTCTCTGAGCCTCAGTTTCCTCATCTACATGGGCGAGGCGGCACAGGCCCGGGGCCTGGGGACCCCCCACATGAGCCATCCTCACGGCCGCCACTGAGCCCTCCTTGGCCTCTGCCACGCCGGCCTGTTCCTGGCCCTGCTCCGGCAGACACAAAATCTCCGCTAAATCCTGTCTTTAATTTTGTTCTCTGGGAAATCGTAGGAGGTTTTGGAGATAAGACTGAGCTGATGAATCAGGGATTTGGCTGTTCCGACAGCAACTCCGACCGGAGGCAGACGGCGGCCCGGGGCCCAGGGCGCCCCACCTCCGCCCGAAACAGTGCACCCCGGGGGCCAGCGTCCCCCAGCAGGCCTGAGGAGCCCCCCAGGCGGCAGCAGGAGGGGCGGGAGAGACGGCGCACAGGGGGACCCCACGGGAGGCCCTCGTGCTGCAGGTGCAGGGGGGGCGGGCGGAGGCGTGGGGGTGCACCGAGGCCCTCCCCGGGCTGAGGTGTGTCCCCACCCTTGCCGGGGCTCTGCCCTGGGTGTGCCCCATCAGCCTCTTCCCCCGGCCTCGCACGAGGCGCTCGGCACCTGCCCAGCCTCCTCCCCCGGCCTCGTCCTCTCTGTCCTCTGCCCCCCCCACCGGGCAGCGTCTCTCCGTCAAACCGTTTTCATTTGCGAACCCACCCATCTCGCCTCCAACGGCCCCCTCAGTCCCTGCAACAGCCCGACACTTGTCTGCCCGCCGCAGTCTGGACCTGCGTGTGGTCTCATCTCAGTCCGGGTTCCTCGGATTCTTCTAAAAACCGTTCCACGCGGACGCGTCTGGGGTGCGGGGTTCCAGGCGTGGTGACAGTCGCTGCCGCCCGGGGACTCTCGGGTGAGGCCGGACCGGAGCCTGTTGGGACCCCTCCCCGCCACGGACCGGCCCCGGCTGTCCCGATCACCCCCAAACTCCCACAAGGGAGGTTCTGTCTTCATCCCCATTTTGCAGAGGGGGAAACCGAGGCACAGTGCTGCGGTCTAGAAGCCACAGTGCCGCGGTCCAGGGCGCTAGGCGGGGATGCCGACCACCGCCATGGGCTCGCCGAACACCCCGAGTGCTAGAGGTGGCACAGCCTGGACAGCCCCTCACAGCCACCCCCACCTTCAGGCAGGAAACCGAGTCACAGGTGCAGCATCCCAGAGCCACAGCTGCCTCGCTGGGTGAGGGGTGGCCAGGCAGCATCCCCGGGCCTGGGTGCCCACAAGGACAGGAGGGGCTGGGTGGGAACCAGCCGCCCTCCCCTCCACCCTGCTCGCTCGGTGGGGACACAGGGGCACCTCCAACTCACTGCAGCCTCCAACTCCTGGCCTCAAGCGATCCTCCTGCCTCAGCCTCCCAGAGTGCTGGGATGACGGGGTGATGGCAGCCCCAGCCTACACCTGCCCCGGCAGGGTGGTCTCCTCAGCAACAGAAGTCGGGGTGAGGAAGGGGCTGCCTTCCCCAAAGCCCACCTTCGTGAAGCTCCTACTGTGTGCTGTGGGGAGGCCACACTGGCCGGTGTGCCCCGTGCTGGCCGGGCGGGACCAGGCGTGTCCGCAGGGCTCGGCACTCCCATGGCCGGAGCAAGGGGCCGTGGGGGCCAGGACAAGCGGGGCCTGCATACGGATGCGGGTGGGTGTCCCATGGGGGTCTCCAGGGAGGCTGAGGCCCCAGGCCGGGGTGTTCCAGGCAGGATGAGGGCGCAGAGCCTGAGCAGCCGGCGCATCCCACGGCCGCTGGCGCCCTCTGCTGGCCGCGCTGGGCATTGCCCCGGACCCGGCTCGCGCAGCCCAGGAACGGGGCATCCCTTCTGTGAGCCCTGCCTTGCACGCTGCCAGTTGCTTCCTGCCCACCTGGCCTCAGCCTCGCGCCCTGGGTGACCTTGGGACAGCCTCCCAGGACAGGAGCTCCCCCCCACTGTGGGACAGATTGGGGTGTCTGACTCTGGCCAACCTCAGCTCCCCACGGAAGAACAGCTCACCTGGGGGCGCAGGTGGGGGCCTGGCCGCGGGACCACGTGGTGTTGGAGCCGCGGGGGAAGGCACAGGACCTCCGTGGAGCTGCACGTGGCGGGAACACTGCCGCCGTCGGCAGCGCCAACACCCGCCTGCCGTAGCCCCGCCCCTCTGCCCCAAGGGAGCCTCAGGTGGGCAGAGCCGCCTCTCTCCTGCTCACAGCTGAGCCCAGAGCCTGGGGCGGGAGGACGGGAGAGGACAGACCCAGGAAGCAAAGGCTGGACAAACCACCGAGGAGAGAGGGCGCCCAGGGGACAGGACACAGGGGCCGGGACTGGCCGTCCCAGGGCGCTCTGGGAGAAAGGGACCGCTACTGCTTGGGCGGTGGCGAGGCCAAGCCGGGGGTCTCAGCCCGCCTGGCCCTTTAAGAGGCGTCTGCCCTCCGGAACGCCGCCTCCCTGCCACTGGGGAGGGGGGAATCCCCGTTGCCCAGCAACCCGAGGCCCTTGGTGTGTACAGTGTCACCGGGGCGACCAGGAGGCCTGCCCTGCTCTGGGGACAGAGCGGCTGGTGCTGCCCCACTGACCGCACCCAGCTGACAACTGTGCCCTGTGACCCCTGCTCGGGGTCGGGCAGCGGGCGCCATGGCGCAGATGGACGCACTGGTGAACCAGCCGCTGGTGCGGCAGTCAGTGCCGCCATGCGAGCTGCCCCCCAAGGTGTACGAGGTGGCCCGCAACACGGGCGCCCACTCGTCCTCGGGCCTGGCCACGGCCGGCTTCCGCACGGCCAAGTACCTGGAGGACGAGTGGTACCAGAACTGCTACGCACGCTACCACCAGGCCTTCGCCGACCGCGACGGCTCGGAGCGGCAGCGGCATGAGAGCCAGCAGCTGGCGGCCGAGACGGAGGAGCTGGCGCAGCGCACGCAGCAGGACTCCACGCGCAAGGTGGGCGCGCGGCTGGAGGACATGCACTGCTGGATGTCGGAGCTGCAGCGCGAGGGCGAGGAGCTGTCCGCCGCCACCGACCAGCTGCGCGCCGACAAGCAGCGTCTGGAGCGCGCCCTGGACTCCAGCTCCGTGCCCTTCGCCATCGCCACCGACAACCTGCAGTGCCGGGAGCGCCGCCAGCACCCCGACCTCGTGCGCGACTGCGTGGAGATAGAGCTGCTGAAGGTGCACGGGGAGGGGGCTGGCACGCGTGGCTCAGGGCGCAGGCCCGGGACCTGTGCCCCGCGCGGCCGTGTGAGGGTACACGCCGGCCCACACGCGTTCTGCACATGGGACCCTGGCTCTTAGAAGCCTGGCCCTGTCGTCACGGGATGGTTTCTCCCCCCGTTGGGCTGTGACTTTCAAGCAACTGTCTCCCTCTTGGGACACTCCCCCCCCCGCCCCAGCCCACTTGAGTCCAGGCAAACTCAGCCTGACCCTGAGGTCCCCGGGGCTGAGCCGCAGGGCACCCCCAGGACGCCGTGGCCGGGACGGGACGGCTGCTCTGTCCAGGCACGGCCCAGTGCCGCAGTACGGACGGGGGGTAGGTGCTGGCACCATTCACCCTACATGTGGCCCTGGCCTCAAAGATTCCCCCAGCTCCTGTCTCTCCTCCAACGTCCTGTCTCTCCCCACTGAAGCCAGCATGACCTGCCCTTGGGCAGCCCGTAAGGGTCAGGGAGGTGGCAGGCCTGGCTACTGGCGCTGGCGCTGCAGGGCCTGGGCCTCACCCCTGCTGCAGGGTGGGGGCGGTGGGTCCAGGGCCTCAGGGAGCCCTGTGCCACACCCCCAGGCCCAGGCTGGAACCCTGGGTCCCTCCCTCCCTCTCCTGCCCCTGCCCAGCCCTCGCCTGCCCGCCTGGTGGTGAGAACAGTGGCACCGGCCAGGAAGGAGCCAGGCCCCAGGACAGAGGTGCATGGGACCGGGACCCCAACGCCCCCAGACGCAGCCCGAGGTTGCGGTGGGAGTCCCAGTCACAGGGGAGAGGGCCGTCCCCACACGGAACACGCCGGCTGTGCCGACGGCCTCTGCCAGCCCAGAGCCCCTCGGGGCAGCCCGGGTGGGCATCTGGTCCCCAGGGCTGGGGGGCCTCGGACGGCCTGGGCAGTGCTGACCGCAGAGCCCAGGTGTGTGGGGGCTGCCTCTGGTGACCCTCCCGGCCTCCTGGAGATGTGCCCAGAGGAAATACCCCACTCACAACACACAGGAAAGTGTCCAAAAGCCCAGAATGAACCCAGAGAGGCGCGGGGCCCCGGCCCCAGCCTCCAGGAAAGTGGCTGGGGAGGGTGGGCCCAAAAGGACCTGGGTGGGCTCCAGAGCTCAGGGGCCTCCTCCCCCAGGAGGTGGAGCTCATCCGGAACATCCAGGAGCTGCTGAAGAGAACCATCGGGCAGGCCGTGCACCAGATCCGGTGGGTCCGGCCAACCTCGCCACCCGGGGCAGGGTGTGGAGGACCCAGAGGCTCAGGGCGGGCAGGGGGTGCCCAGACTGAGCGCGGAGCCGGCCCAGATCCGCCCCAGCGCGGGGTGGGGGTGGGTGTGGGGATAGGAGTGTGGGTGTGGGTGTGGGTGTGGGGCCTCCCCGTCGGCGCCCACCAGCCGGTGGGACCCACGCGGGGGTGGGGGGCCATGCGCTGAGCCGCCCGCGCCCCCAGGCTGAACCGGGAGCAGAAGGAGACGTGCGAGCTGAACTGGTCGGACAAGGTGGAGGCCTACAACATCGACGAGCGCTGCGCGCGCTACCGCAGCCAGAGCACCGAGGTGCAGTTCCACCCGCACTCGGTGGCGCACACGGAGAGGTGGGCCCCGCTGCGCCGTCGCCCACACAGGCGGAGCGCGCGACCCGCCCGTCGCCGCGCAGCCAATGGGGGCAGGGCTCGGGGGCGGGGCTGGGGCGGGCCGGGGGGCGCGGGGTGGGCGGTGGCAGGGGCTTAGGGTGAGCCGGGGGACTGGGAAGGTCAGGGCGTGGGGGCGCGTCGGGGACGGGGACGGAAGGGCATGGGGGAGGCGGGACGTCTGTCTGGGGGGCGTCGGCCGCAGCGCTGCCGGCGCCTCCCCGACCCTCCGCCCGCTCCGCCCGCAGCGCCTCCACGACGGAGTCGTGGGCAAGGTTCACCCAGGACACCCTGTGCCGCGCCCAGCGAGAGCGCCTGGCCTCCACCAACCTGCACGCGCTCATCGACTGCCTCCTAAAGGACACGGCGGAGGACCTGCGGCTGCAGTGCGACGCCGTCAGCGTGGCCTTCTCGCGCCACTGCGATGACCTCGAGGACGCGCGCAACAAGCTGCAGCACCACCTGCACAAGGTGGGCCCCCCGCCGGGCCCCTGCGGCCCTCTGTGCCCCGCGCAGCCCGAGGGAGCCCGGAAGCACGTGCCCGCACGTCGGGGTGCTCGATGAGCATGCGCAGAAAACCAGCTGCTGGGGGGGGCCGTCCGCGGGCCTTGCCAGCAGGTGCCGCATGGGAGGGGCTGTCAGGTATGGAGAGGACGGAGGCAGGAGGCGGTTTGGGGGGCACGGTTTGGAGTCCCCACGGTTTGGGGACCACCCCAGCAGTGGGGTGACCCCTCCAGGCTGGCTGGGCCGGCAGGGCTGCGACTCAGCCTGGCCTTCGCTGCCGGAGCGTCCGGAGTCCTTGGCTGGGGCTGGAGGCCTGACTCGCCGGAACCTTCTGAGGGCCGTGGGGAAGGCCGAGTGGCCACACACAGTGTCCCTTCCTCGAGCCGCCACCGGACAGGCTGCCCTGCTGGCCGCAGCCTTGGGGGTCAGCCAGGGGCCAGCCGGCCCTGCCGAGTGGGGGACACCCAGACCCGGCGGTGCCACGGGCCGTGTGTCCTGCAGACCCTGCGGGAGATAACGGACCAGGAGCACAACATCGGGGCGCTGAAGAAGGCCATCAAGGACAAGGAGGCGCCCCTGCGCGTGGCCCAGACGCGGCTGTACCAGCGCTCGAAGCGGCCCAACGTGGAGCTGTGCCTAGACACGGCCCAGTTCAGGTGCCCGGGCCGCCGTCCCCATGCCCACGTCACCATCGGTGCCCCACCCGCCTGCCCCTGCCTCCCTCTGTCCCCGCGGCGCAGGCTGCGGTCCCAGCGCCATTCTTCTCTCGGTTTCCCTCTGGGACCCAGGGGCCCTTGGGGGGGGGGTCGGCCGGGATTCCGGCCCAGGGATCCCAGCTGGGCTCGTCCCCCCTCCTGCAGGCTGGTGAGCGAGGTGGAGGAGCTGAACATGTCCCTCGCCGCGCTGAAGGAGAAGCTTCTGGAAGCCGAGCAGTCTCTGCGCAACCTGGAAGACACGCGCATGAGCCTGGAGAAGGACATCGCGGTCAAGGCCAACAGCCTCTTCATCGACCGCCAGAAGTGCATGACTCACCGCCTCCGCTACCCCTCCGTCCTCCGGCTGGCCGGCTACCAGTGACCAGCCCTGCGCCGCCCCACCCCCGAATAAAGAGCACGTTAGCTTTCCTACCCCGTTAGCTTTCCTCCCCCGTGGCCGAGGTGGGGTCCTGGTGCCGTCCGCCCGGGGAAGGCGTCTCCTCCCGTGCAGCCTGGCTTCGCCCCAGCCGTGGGAGACCAGGGTCACGCCTGGGGGGGCATGTTCAGAACCACCTGTCACTCCCCACCAGTGCCGGCTCCTCCTCCGCCCGTTCACCCCGCAGTCGCTGGCCTCGGCTCCATACAGGACTGGGGGGTCACTCCACCCCACCCCGCAGGGCCCTAGCATACCTGCAACTCTCCAGATGAGGCGCTCACTCTGCTGGAAGCTCCTCCCATTGCTGAGCACACCTGGGGGGGCCCCTCCAGGGTGAGCCCCACCCAGACAGCACCCCTTCCACAGCAGCCCCCTCCCCACCGACACCTGGCCCTGAGCCGGGCAGCTTGGCTGGGCTGGGGGGTCAGCGAGGTGGGAATTGGTGCTGGGGGAGCTGGGAAGAAAAGAGCAGGTGCCTTTCCCAGGGGCTCACTCAGACCTCTCTTCTCCCCCCCCCCAAGCCACTGCTGGGGAGGAGACAGCCAGGCCCAGGCCCCCGGCTGTGGGCCATGGGAGGGGCCGACATGCCTGAGGGAGGAGCTTTGCTGGAGCTGTCAGCCCTGGGGGGAGATCTGGCCACCTGTGAGCAAGTGGGGTATGGAGGGCTTCCTGGAGGCGGGGGCCTGGCCTCTGCAGCACAGGCCAGGGCACAGGAGCTGGGACGGGGGAGGAGTCTGGGTCTCCGGAGCCAGACACCTTGTCTCTTCAGCGAGTGCCCTGGTGCCCACTGAGGCAGGCCCCTCCCTGGGCCCTGGGGGGAGGCGACAGCTGCCAGGCCCTGGGCCCATCCCACGGCTGCGGGTGGCCCAGCCCCTATGCCTTTGCGATGGGGGGGGGGGGCCAGGGTGGAGGCCAGTTGGACTCAATCCGCAGGTTGCAGGGCCACCTCTGCGGTGCAGAGTGGTTCAGAGTAAACGCCACTTCCATCACCACGGAAGCCACACCACTTGTCCCAAGCCGCTGGTCACCACGGCGACGACCAGTCCTGCTCTTAGTGTCTGGTGTGCCATTAAAATGCACCCTGGGCACTGTCACCGCGACCCCTGCCCGAGCCAGAGCGGTGGCGGCAGCAGGACACTTGGCTGCGAGCTTGCCCTGGGGGCTCCGGGCGGTGACTGCCGTGCCCTGCGGCCCTGCACAGCCTCTGAGCCGTCTCCCTGCAGTCTCCGCCTCGCACGGGCAACACGGGGGCAGGTGGCTGGGAGGGGGCCTTGTGCCTGCCACCTGCACACCACGGCTGGGGGATGGGGGGGCAGTCAGGTGTGGGGGTGGAGGCTGCAGAGCCCCCCACCCCTGTTGGCCTGAGGGAGGGGTGTGAATGCTCGGCCCTGCGTCCAGGGCTCTGGGCAGGGCTGCACCCCCATGCCAGCCTCAGAGGGGCCGGGCGCTGGCGTTGGGGGGGTGGTGACCCCGCTGTGCCCTCCTGCCCCCGTGGCAAGCTGCTACTCTGTCCCCTCCCTGGAGGGGGCTCGTCATGGGAGTCTCGGGGAAGAGAGGCTGGTTCCTGGGAGCCGGTGACTCCCGCTGTGCCGGGCGGCCAGCAGAGACCGGCTCCTGTCCCCGCTCGGGCTGGTGGGAGCCCAGCGCAGGGCACCAGGGCCTGGCCGTGGCTCGTCATCTCCGGTTGGCACCGGGTGGGGGGGGGGCCAGGCCAGGCGTCCTCCTGAGCGGGTGACGAGTTCTCACATCTCTGGGCCTTGTGACAGCTGGAGGGTCTCACCGTGTGCATTTTACAGCTGGAGAAGGTGGGGCCCGGGGTCTCCGTGCTGCGGCGCTCCCACCCCAGGCGTCTCTGAGAGCCCCTCGGTCTGTGGTCTCAGGCGGGTCAGCAGGGCCGGGCTCGGGCAGTGAGGCCGGCTGGCCCCGTGAGAGCCCTGACGCCCCGCCCAGCCTGGCTCCAAGATGCAGGTCGCTGCCGCCCGCTGGGCCTCTGGGGGCCCCTCCTCCCACCGAATCCCTTCTTGACCCTTGACCCTGGATTGTCCAACCCCCGCGGAGGCACCTGGACGCAGGCAGCTGAGGACACAGCCCCTGCCCAGAAGCCCCTCGGCCCCGTAGCCCGGGATATGCTCGTCCAGGAAGCCCCTCCCCCACCGGGTCGCAGGCAAAGGGAGGATGCCTCAGCCCCAGTGGGAGGAGGGCTGGTGCCACGCGGGCCGCCCTGAGGATACGGGACCACACGGAGGCAGCACCGCACGCAGAGAGGGCCGGTCCGTGGGCCTGTGTTGCCAGCGCCCCCACAGGGTCGGGTGGGGAGGACGCGCCGTCCAGGGAGGGGAGGTGCGCGGTGAGCAGCGCAGGCCCGAGGACGCTGACTCCGCCTCCGCAGCGCGCCGCCCTCCGCAGCGCGCCTCCGCAGCGCGCCGCTCCAGGCGCTGCGCGGGCCTGTGCCGTGACGGGAGGCTGCCGCACACGGTCCACGGCTCCGGTCCGTGCTCGTGCCCCTCCACCCTGGCTGGCATGACACGCCGTGCCACATCAGCCGGCCTCCGCCGAGGCCACCTGCGGGGCGCCACGGGGCGGCCGCGCCGGCTCCTGTCACAGCACAGGTCCCGACACCGAGCCGACAACAGGGGCTGTCCGCGCAGCGCGCTTAGCCAGGGAGGTCGGGCGCGTGCGTCCGCAAGCGCAGGTGGCAGCACAGCTCCGCCGCGGCACGGGCCGCCCACCGCCGCCGCCGGGTGCCAACGCGGACGGGCCGGCACACTCGCGGCTCCCCTCCTCCAGGGACGCTGCGGCCCTGTCTGAGCCAGGGCTATTCTGTCCCAGACGGACCGCTTCGCCGCGACGCAGCCTCTGCCCTGGCCAACGCGCACGCGGACCGCTCTGCCCAGAGCCCTGCCGGGCGCCCCCAAGCAGGGTCCAGTGGGACCCGAGGACCCTTCCTCCGCCCGTTCGTGGGAGTCCGCGCCCCCAGGGAACACCTCTGTTTGGGACATCAGGGAGCCCTGAGCGAGCCCAAGAGAGGGACGGACCTGCGGCCAAGGGTGTCACAGCCGCACCACGGGGACCACCACGCCTGGGCCACCACGGGCACACGAGAAGGACCCACCTGCCATGCCCTGGTCCTAGCGTGCATGGGACTCGGGTACGGCAGGGCTGGTCCCCACCTGTGCCCAACGCACGGCGGGTGAACACAGCTTGCCAGGGCTGCTGCGTGAGCCTGTCATCCCAGAACCGCGTACCTCACCACCCCTGGGAAGCATGAGCAGCGTCCCTTGGTGTCCTCCCTCACCCTGTCAGCCAGCCGCCTGTCGGCACCCGGGCCAAGTGTCTCCTGCACGTCCTAGCAGGCGGCCCCCTGGGGGGAGCCATCGGCCATCCAGAGACCCAGGGTCAGAGCCAGGGCCCTTGACTTGGCCGCAGAGCGGATAGCCTCACCCGCGCTGTGTCCTGGAGGCCAGGTTGTTCCTGCCCGCGCCACCTCGTCCACTGAAACGGCTGGGCAGTCCCACGTGGGTGGTAGGTGAGGGCCATCGCCCGCGGGCAGCCTGCCCCACTGTCCAGAGTGTAGGGCTCCGTGCGTCAACCCCGGGCGGGGGCCAGCTGGCCACAGGCCCGCGGCCTGGTCTGGCCCCCCACCAGGCACCCAGCACAAACCAACAGCTCCGGCTCAGGCTGCCGAGTCCCCGGCACCCCAGGCTCCTCGTAGAGGGCGTGCGCACTCCCCAGCGCCAGCCACCGGCGAGACACCGCGCGCACGGAAGGCCGGCGGGAGGGACCCAGAGCCCCCAGCCAGGCTGCGCGGCAGACGGGGCCGGCGAGCACCCTGCCCGGAGCTGGCCCTCGGCCTGTTGGTCTTGGACAGGCGAGAGGAAGCCGCAGGCGCCCCGTGGCATGAAAGGCTCTTTGACGGCGGCGGGCGGCAGTGGTGCAGGAGGCGGCCAGGCAGCAGCAGCGGCAGTGGTGGCTCTCGGGCCTGGGACGGTAAGGGGGTGCCGGGCCGGGGTGAGGGCTTCACAGGGTGGGTTGGGGGCCCCTGCAGGGCCCTAGTGGAGGCAGAGCCAGCCCGACTGCCTGCCGTGTGGGGCCGCGTGGGGCCTGGTGGCCGGGACACCTGGGACCTCAGAGCTCTGGGCCTCCCCAGGGACACCCCCACATTCCCGCCTGCACAGGAAGGGTCCAGGGGGGTCGTGTGGGGTCCAGTGGGACCGAGGGGTAGGGGGCAAGTCAGGGTCTGCTGGGCTCTGGGGGTTCAGGCAGAGGAGGGGTCTCAACTGCCAGAGTTCAGCCCGCCTGGGGTGGGCCTCAGGCCCGCTGTGCAAGAGGAAGAAACTCTCCTGTAGCTGCAATCCCCGAGGGCTTCTTGAAGGAGGGGCCTGGTCTCTGCCCAGCAGAGCCGCTGCAGGGAAGGTCGAGGACCCTGACCCCACCCGAGGCCTCGTGCCCGGCTCAGGGCCCAGACGCAGCCTGTGGGGACCAGGACAAGCAGGGCCCAGTTGCAGGGGGAAACTGAGGCCCAGGCTGGCCTGGGGCAGCTGCTGGCTGAGCTGGGAGGGAAGCCCATCTAGCTCAGGTGGACCCACTAGGCTGACCTGGCACCCCACCCCTCCTGGCTTGAGGGGCTGCAGGGTGGGCTCTGCGGGGGTGGGAGGGGGCCCAGGCCTGGGGGGCTGGGGACCGTCTTCCCGACTTCAGGGGCCTCACGGTGGCTGCCCCGTAGGTGCTGCCCTGGGAGCTCAGGGTGCGGCTGCTTACCCAGTGGGGCAGGGCCTGAGCCCCAGGGAGGCTGCCTGCTCCTGCGTTTGGACGGCTCCCCGTCCACCCGCCCGGTGTGGGGGCCCCAGGGCCGGGGTGCGGTCTTCACAGCCCTGGATGGGTGGGCGGGGGGCCCCCGCTGGGTTCAGGCAGAGGAGGGATCTCAACTGCCAGAGAAGTTCAGCCCGCCTGGGGGCAGGGGGCTCAGGCCCGCTGTGCAAGCAAGAGGAAGGAACTTGCCTGGGGCTGCAATCCCAGAGGGCTTCCTGAAGGAGGAGCCTGGTCTCTGCCCAGCAGAGCCGCTGCAGGACCCCGACCCCATCTGCCGGGGAACAGGGCCCTGGCTCAGGGTGCCTGCAGCAGTTCGGGGCGCAGACCGCCCACCCCAGCAGGAGCGCCCAGGCCGGGCTGCAGTGGGGCAGGGCTCTAGCGGGCCGTCTCCTCTGCAGGCCCTGAGCGAGATGGCAGCTTCCACCCTGATGCTCCTGGCACTGGCGCTGCCCACGGCGGCCTGGCCCGGCCTGGGGCTGCCCAGAAGGCCCTGTGTGCACTGCTGCCGCCCAGCCTGGCCCCCGGCCTCCCCCGGCCCATACGCCCACGTGAGTGCCAGGGACCCGTGGTGGGGGCTGCCCCGGGTGCGGCCCACCATAGACATCTCCATCCTCAAAGGTGGGTGTCCCAGGGCATGTGGCCTGCGCCGCCCCGGGGGCTGACACCCCCACCCCACCGCCGAGGAGAGCAGGGACCAGGGCGCGGAGGAGGGGCTGGGAGGCAGCAGGGACACTGAGCGCCAGTCCCCACTGGCAGCACTGCCTGCCCTGGGGACCCCAGCCGCCCCCTCCCGCAGGACACGCCCAGCCTGGGAGGGGCTGTGGACCAGGGGTGGGGATGCTGAGGGCCCTGGAGAAGGGGGCGGGGGCCCTGAGGTCCCCAGAGTGGCAGGCCCCTCAGGAAGGGAGGGGCCCACGGGCTGGACAGCAGGCCGTGCCTGGGTTAGACTTGGACAAGAATTTTCCAGCCCTCCCATCTGCCGGAGCCCAGCTGAGCCCTTCCTCCCCCGTGGAGGGGGCAGAGAGGAAACAGGCTCGGAGGCTGAGGGCAGCTGCGAGCCACACGGCCGGCCGGCTGGTTGGCCCTCAGGGCCTGGAAGGGAGGGGGTGCTGCCCCAGCCTGGCCTGGCCCTGACCAGGTGCACGGCCCCTCCTCCTGCTTGCACCCCCACAGGTGAGAAGGGCGAGGCAGGGGTCAGAGGTCGCTCCGGCAGGAGTGGGGAGGAGGGTCCGCCGGGCTTCCGGGGCCCGCAGGGCCGCAAAGGCCAGAAGGGGCAGGCGGGGCCGCCGGGCGCCCCGTGCCAGCGCGCCTACGCGGCCTTCTCGGTGGGCCGGCGCGAGGGGCTGCACAGCGGCGAGGACCTGCAGGCCGTGCCCTTCGACACGGAGCTGGTGAACCTGGACGGCGCCTTCGACCTGGCCTCGGGCCGCTTCCGCTGCGCGGTGCCCGGCGTCTACTTCCTGAGCCTGAACGTGCACACCTGGAACCACAAGGAGACCTACCTGCACGTCATGCTGAACCGCCGGCCCACCGCCGTGCTGTACGCGCAGCCCAGCGAGCGCAGCGTCATGCAGGCCCAGAGCCTGCTGCTGCCGCTGGCCGCCGGCGACACCGTCTGGGTGCGCATGTTCCGGCGCGACCGGGACAACGCCATCTACGGCGAGCGCGGGGACCTGTACATCACCTTCAGCGGCCACCTGGTCAAGCCGGACGCAGAGCTCTAGCCGGCGCCCGGGCCCGTGCCGCACCCCGCCGCGCCGGCGCTCCCGCCCCCGAGACCCCCAGCCTGACCGCGGCGTCCCGGTGGAGGGCGGGGGCAGCTGTGCTTGAGCGCCGACTGTGTGCAGAGATCACGGGATGGCGTGGGGGGCAAGCCTGACGCACAGCCCGCCCTCGCGGGTGGACACGGGAAGGGACACACGGAGCCGCCACTCGGCAGAAGCCTGTGGCGTGACCGTGTGGCTGGGGCGGGGGGCGCTCGGCCAGCTGCCCACCTGTGTCCCCCCGCGGCCGCTCCGCTCATAAAGGCCGTGTCAGCACAGTTGGCTGCGTGGGGACGTCCGTCACGAGCGCCTGCCGGGCCGGCAGAGGACCCAGGTTCTGGCGGGAAACCGGCACAAATTCCAGGGGCGTCAGAGGGTGCACATGACGGCCAGGGCAGCGGTCCAGGCCTGGCAGGAGAAGCCCGACCAAGCACCAGCGGCTGATTTCTGGGGCTCGGGGGCCCCTGGTCTGTCCGGAAGGACTGGAGGGCTGGACATGCCCAGAACCCACCGAGCCCCAGACACCCACAGTGGCCCCTTGCACCTGACTCGCACCACGGGGCCATGGGGCACCACGGGGCCAGGCCACACCACAGGGCCAGGCCACACCAGGGGACCATGGCCACACCAGGGGGCCACAGCACACCACGGGCCATGGCCACACCAGGGAGCCACGGCACACCACGGGGCCACAGCACACCACGGGGCCAGGCCACACCAGGGGGCCACAGCACACCACAGGGCCAGCCCACACCAGGGAGCCACGGCACACCACGGGGCCACGGCACACCACGGGGGCAGGCCACACCATGGGGCCAGGCCACACCAGGGAGCCACGGCACACCATGGGCCCATGGCACACCGCGGGGCCAGGCCACACCATGGGGCCAGGCCACACCAGGGGGCCACAGCACACCACGGGGCCAGGCCACACCAGGGGGCCAGGCCACACCAGGGAGCCACGGCACACCACGGGGCCAGGCCACACCAGGGAGCCACGGCACACCACGGGGCCAGGCCACACCCTGGGACCAGGCCACACCCCGAGAGCAGGGAGGGCTCACTTGCGAGGGGTGACTGAGCCATGCCTGTCCTCCCAGGCAGGAGGACGCAGACAGAGGTTGGGCACACTCATGACACCGGGAGCCTCCACCGCCCTCCCCACCCTCACCCCTGTAGGGCAGTGGGGGGTCAGTGGGGACCCGCTGCTGTCCATGCAGGGCCCATCTGCAGGGGGAGGGCCTCTCTCTGGCTGTCCACCCCTCGCCTGAGCCCGCAGCCCCCCAAGTCCTTCCTGAGCCCCCTGCACCCCCAAGCGACACCCCCAAGCTGTTCCTTGCGTGTTGGGGGTGGAGGTGTCACTCAAGCACAGGACAGGCCGGGGGTATCCCAGGCTGGTGACGCCCTGGCCCTGCTGGGGATGGGACACAGGAAAGCCACAGGCCCGGTGGGGGAGGAGGGACTCCCAGGCCTGGGACCTGCCTGTCCCCATCGGGCCAGCCCCCATCTGGACACTGAGGTGGGCGGAGCCTCAGGCTGCACTTTGCCCCTGGGATGGCCAGACACACCCAGGGCGCCAGGCAACCAGCCGCGGGACAGAGCTGCCGTCCAGTGCCAACAGGGCCTGGGCAGGGGGGTCCCGCTGTGGAGATGAGGGGCCCAGCAGGGAGGTGCATGCCTGTCCCCTCCCACCCCACCAGGATGCCCCATGCTGAGGCCAGGCGGCCGAGAGGGCCAGTCCCAGCTGTGTGTCCCTGGCAGGGCCCGACCTGTTGAGGGGCCAGGGCGCCTGGTCAGTGTCCCAGGAGCCGGCCTGGCCCCTCCCGCCCGTGCAGTGGTCATGTGACCCCCTTCCCAGGTGAGGGGTCACCGAGGCCCCTGCAGCCCGAGCCGGGCTCCTGCCGCAGTCCAGCCCTCTCTTGTGTCCCTCTGGCCTGCCCGGTGGCCTCAGTGTCCCCATCCCATGGGGGGTTGGCTCCGTCAGGGCACACAGAGCGGTGGCAACAGCGCCCTGGACAGCTACTCTGGCCACTGACCAGGAGGGCAGGCAGGACCACACCCACCGGGGGCCTGTGCTGGGGAGGGTCCCACGGAGGGTCCTGCTGGGGCCAAGTGTGGCAGGTGCTCCGAGGGACAGGGGTGAGGGTGGGGGGGTCCCAGCCACCCACATGGAGGGTCACGGCCCCGAGGGAGAGTGGGCTGGGCAGGGAGCACGTCCACGCCCACAGCTCCGCCCCTGCAGGCAGGGACCCCGGGACCCCAGACAGCAGCGCCCCTCCCTGGCCCTGGGCCTGCAGGTCTGTGGGCTCCACGACTGCAGAGCTGGTGCTGCCGCGGGGTGCAGGCGGCTCTGCAGGAGAGAGGCCGGGAGGACGCCGCCCCCCACGCCCGGGAGCCCAGAAAATGCTTCCGCCAGGCTGGGGGGGCGGCGGCCAGGCCACTCAAGGCGCAGACAGGACCAGGCAGGGCTGGAGCCGGCTGCACGGGCGGTAGGGGGACAGGCTGGGAACGGACGCTGCCATGGCCACGCGCTCGCGTCTACACACCCTGCATGGGCAGGAGAGGCAAAGGCCTCAGAGAGCCGGGCTGGTCGGCAGCCGAGGAGCCTCAGTGCATCCAACCCGGGTCCCGCCCGCCTTCCGGGCATGTTTATCCCCAAACCGACTGAGAACTGGGAGAGGACAAGATGAGGTCAGGATCGACTTCCGGGCGATCGGGGCCCAGGGCGGGGGTGGGGGTGGAGGTGTGGGGTGTGGAGGGCGCCCTGCAAAACGAGGCCAGAGCTGGCAGTCGATGCGGCCTCGCCCCTGCCTGAGGTCTGAGGACAGAGGGGGGCGGGGCGGTCGCAGCGGCCAGGGGAGCACAGTGCCGAGAGCAGGGCCAACCGGCAGGCACGGCCCACAGGGGCAACCACGCCGCCCGGGATGCTCCTGGTGAGGGTCTCGCCGGGGCGCAGTTTATCCCGTTCAGCTCACGGCGCAGCGAGATTCCAGTAAAACCCCGCCCTAAATGTTTAGGCGGGACTCACACAACACAAACTCGCCTGTTGGAAGGGACAGTGGGGCAGTGTGGACCACGTCCCCGGCGCCGTGCCGCTGCCACCTGTGTGTGGCCCCAGAGTGTGTTTGGGCACCGGGATGCTGGCCCGCAGTGCCACGCTGCCCCCCCAGCCCAGCAGCCTCTGCCACCGTCTCTGCGACTCGTCTCTGTGACTTGTCTCTGTGACTCACCTGCTGTCCGTGCTGCGGCTCCGAGCCCCCCGACCTCCAGGCCGCAGAGCTCCACCGCCCCGCCCCGCCCCGCCCGCCCGTGGAAACTCGTCCCCGGTGCCAGAGAGGGTGGGCCCGAGGCAGCATGCGCCAGAGCGTCCCTCCTTTTAAAGGCTGAGAACCCATCCACTGCACGGACAGGCCACATCTGTCCGTCCGTCCCTCTGTCCACGGACACTCGGCTAAGGCCGTTATGAGCATCTGTGGAAAAATTCCACTTTTTAACGTCATGAGAATCGTGTTGGAGGGAACTCGTGAGAGTGAGTCGGCGAGAGAGCCGTAGGGAACCCTGACCCGCTCCGCCCCGGTGGAGACATCTCCAGTGGGGACTCAAACGGAGCACAGGTGTGATGAGCGCACGGCTGCCACGCAGAGACAGACGGAAGCTGCCACCCGGAGGGTTAGCCCCCCACCTCCCCGGTCCCTGGCCGCTATGGACCACACTGGCCGCTCCCAGCGTGTCCAGCCAGTGGGAGCCCAGCAGGGTGTGGGAGGGAGGGAGGAGAGAGGCGGCTGGAGACCTGTTCCATCAGGCTGCTCCTCAGCTCCCCCATGCCCCCCAACCCCCCGAGGGTGGCAAAGCCCCCAGACTGTGCTGTGTCCTGCGGCAACCTCGCCCCCCGGCCCTGGGCTGAGACACCTGCTTCCCTGGCAGGGGCGGGAGTGGGGGCTGCAGCGGGGAGAGGGGGCGAGACTGTGATAGGTCTGTGTCT